ATCCTCAGCACCACATAAAAATAAATAAAATAAAGGTATTGTGTCCAGCTACAACTAAGAAATAAATTTTAAAAAAAAGAAATATGGTTCACCCTTCAATTGAACATTGCTAGCATTGCTCAAGGAACACATGCCCAAATGCAGAAAGATACCCATAAACACTGCTAAATTTTTAAAAAGAATTCTTTGAACTAATATATATATAAATAATGAGCCAATTTACATTTTTTGTATACATATTTATATATGTATATATATTTATATATGCATAATAAATGTGTGCAAAAAACACACTTTAAGCTATTATTTGTAATGCTTGTGGGGAATAGAATTCCAAAGAAAAACTGCACTTTCACCTCATATTTTCTCATTTTTACCTTATGTATTTCTATACTATGTTATTATATGCTTTTTAAATAGATGCTTATTACCTTTTATTTTCTATAACTTTTATCAGAAAGAATTCAGTGCTCCTGGTGGTGCTCAGCAGGCCTGGGAACCCCRGGAGAAGGTCAGTGGACTCAGACTCCAGACTCCTCAGCGTTCCAGCTGCAGGACCCGAGAGCAGCCCGGCACACTGGGGAGGAAGCTCTGGCAGGACAGACRCGTCCTAGGACCCCAGGGACAGTGYGCTCAGGTGGKTCCCTCAGGCCTGCTTCTGGAGCAGAGCTGGCAGTCCTGGCCCACGCACCGCACCCTCCTGCAGGTCCAGTTCTGTGCAGGCCAAGGGCACCTTGGGGACCCAAGACAAAGGCCCTGAGTTCCACAGAGCTTGGGGTTTGGTAGCACACACTGTCTTCTTAGCACCAGGAGAGGTGTGTTGGTGGTGCTTGGATTCAAGTGTCCCCAAGGCCCACGTGGCAAGGCTTGGCCCCTGCATGGCCCTGTTGGGAGGTGACRGAGCCCCTCGGAGGTGGGCCTAGTGGGAGGGCTGCAGGCCACTTGGACCTGCCCTTGAGGGTGCGGTACCCTGACCCCCCCACAGTTATTCTTGCTCCGCGAATGGTTTTGTGCTGCCACCAGCCCCTGCCACGTGCTGCCAGACCCACAGCAAAGAGGGTCACTCCCTCGTGGGTGGCACTCCACCACTGCRAGCCGAAATCAACCTTTCCTCTTCACTTCCCCTTGCCTTTCCCCTGGGTCGTCTGCCACAGTGACAGAAAGGTGACYAACACACAAGAGGGACASGAGGCAGCTGCCCACTGTGTGGCTTCACCTCGGCTGCAGAGCTCTGAACCCTGGGGGACTCAGCTCCACCAAGCTGGTTCGTGGCACTAAAGGAAGCCCCGGCCCTCGGTCACGCTCCCGGCGGTGACCGCACGCACACACTTACCTCCTCGTTCTGATAGGCAGTCACGGCGATGAACTGGGTCTCTGGGAAGGAGCAGTTGGTGACCATGCGGTGGGCGCCTCCCACGCGTACTATGTGAACCTGGGGCTCGTACTTGTGCAGGGAGCTCAGCATTATCTGTGGGGGGGAGAAGGTAAGAGATGCCACGCCGAGCCCGAGTGTCCCAGTGACCCCGCCCTGTGTGTCCTCATGGCCTACACTTTTGGTTAGTCCCAGGATCAGGACCCACCCAAGTCAGGGACACACAGGTAAAGTCCYGGGTCACCGGAGCTGCACCCCACCCGGGAGGTTTCTCAGAGGCTCCTGGGGAATGTGACCCCTTCTACAGGGGTCAGGRGAGGGGCCCCAGAGGAGTGGCCCCTGCGTGCCTGGCATTCTGTCCCCCTCCCTTCTTCCTCCGCCTGTTTTCAGCACAATGTGGATTTCAGTCCATTAAAGCAAGTTCTTCTTTTCAGGTGAAGAAACCTAATAACTCTGGATGATGATGTCCATCACATTCCACCTCATTTCTAACCCATGATATTATCCAAAGTCCACGTATGAGGACAGGAATTGGTGAGAATGTACTTTGTGGACCACCAGAGACATGAGACAGTGTGCTCTATAGGTACACATATTACACATGAATCGTAATGCCTTCTGCTGTCATAAATATTAATAAAAATATTAATAAAAATGAAAATTTAATAAAAAATGAAATCCCATATTTTAAAAAAGAAAGAAATCTAATAACTCAGAATGTTGACAATGGCTGTTTTATAAGTGACGAACAGGCTAAGGACGTCTGGCATCTGGTGGTGACTCTGACCCCTCCTTTATGATTCTGTGAAGGGTTATTGAAAGTCCTACTGTGAAGTCTGGTAGGCAGCAACACTCCACCTTTCAGGGTCCTGATTTCATTAAGACCGGGAACCTTTGGATGTCACAAAGACTTGGGTGGCCTTGCCGGCTTCTCCTCCAACAGGACTGTGCTGAGCACRGAGGACAGAGGTGGCCACAGCTCAGGGCACAGGCTGAACAAAGCAGGGAGTGGGGCAGCCTCTGCCTCCTGCCCCACCCCCAGGCCCCGAGCAGCCTCCCCTGACTAGGAGGCACAATCCCACCACATAAGTCCAGAGAAACAAGCCTCCAACCCATGTTTATTCTAATTGGAGCCACCTTAAATAAAGCCTTCCTTATTTAAGGTTTGTTATGATTACTTTTTTTTCTGAAAAACCTAAGCTGATTCAGTATTCTATTGATAATTATCGTAATGCCCAAGCCGAGGAAGTAATTATTTCATTTAGGAGCAGCTTTTTATTAAGGTATTTGTCTATTGCCAACATACCACTTACACCAAAAAAGGGGAGAGAGATGAACAAAACCCGGTACCCACAAACATCTCCCTCCCAGGGCTGCGTGAAAGCAGCGCACAAGACAAAACTCTGAAAGGAGGCCTGATGATTAAGTGAACCAGGCACTCTCCTCCCTCTCCACAGCAGGAAGTCCATTAAAAACTGAAAGCACCAATTAAGAGCTGTTTATTCCTGTTTACATTTGGACTCCAGGGAATAATTGGCTTCTGTGGGAGAAGAGGCTGGTGAAGACCCCTCTAATTGCCTAAATGCACCCTTGATAGTTCTCGATGGGCGGGCGCTGGGGCGGCCGTACCTGCCCACCTCCGTTGAGCTTGTTGGTCAGCTTCACTTTGCTGAAGGAGATGGGAGCCTTCATCCAGTGGGCCCCGAAGTTCGGGGAGTCGGGGTGGATGTAGACGCAGCTGTGGCTGGAGACCTCTGGCTTGCCCGCGGGCACCCACTCCCCATTGACGTACTTCCAGCGGTGGCTGTCCGTGGGGACAAAGTCCAGCAGGAGGGAGTACATGGCATTGGGGTCCAGTCCTGTGACGCTGATCTTTAGAACAGGAAACATCCTTCTAAAGACAAAAGGGAAAGGCGCTTAGCCACAGGAGGGACGGCAAGGGACCCCGGCCCTGCCCCGGTCTCAGTGCTGAGGCGTCCCATGGAGTGGCCTGGAAGGGAGGCCCGTAACGGGGCCCTGCCCCCCCAGCTCCAGTTCCACTAGAGCCTCCTTCCACAAGCCCTTTTGATATTGGGGTCTGACTTTCAAGTGCTGTGTCCACTCCAAAGGAACCCGGAGAGGAGGGACCTGGGGGGAAGGTGGGCTCTCTTCCAGGACCCTGCCCCCTGCGGAGGCCACACACAGCCCTTCCCAGCTCACCTTCCCACCTTTCTGAGTAGGGGTTGGTGGTGGCACTTAGTGCGCGACACCTGGTAGCAGGTACATGAGAGGCTCCTGTGGCAGGTGGACGGGCTCCGCTCCCCCAGACTCCCCAGAGCCTCTACAAGGCTTTTCCCGTGAGTGTGGACGAGCTGCAGGCTTGCACACACCCTGAGCCCCTGCGGCAGGGAGCCATCTTTGGGGCATTTTGTGGGGATTTGTGTTTGAGCAGCACAATCTCCATATGCATTAGATTCCCCGATCCTTCCCACTCCCTAGAATGGCACCAACAAGTTTCCTCTCACAGTATTTGGAGAAACTACCGAGGTGGCTGGCTTCTGATTCCAGAGCATTTTCACCCCCCCAGAGGACCTCCATGGCCACTAGCGGTCACACCCATTCTACCAGACTTCTTGTCACCAGAAAGAAAAGCGGGGGCAGAAGCTGCTGCCAGCCAGGCAGGAGGGAGGCAGAGTCGGTTGGTCCTTTGCTCTTCCAGCTGCCAAAGTCCCCACCCAAGGTAAGATCCTGGAGGGAAGCAGGCTGCCACCTCAGGGCGGGGTGTGACAGCACTTCCAAGCTTGTTAGGTGCAGGCGCTGGAGCGAGCACTGGAGAATTAGCAAGTTCTTGCAATGAGTTCATGAGGCTGTCTTGGTGTGTTCAAGAAGAAGAAGGAAATGGGGCTGGGGATGTGGCTCAAGCGGTAGCGCGCTCGCCTGGCATGCGTGCGGCCCGGGTTCGATCCTCAGCACCACATACAAACAAAGATGTTGTGTCCGCCAAAAAAATAAATAAATATTAAAAAAAAATTCTAAAAAAAAAAAGAAGAAGAAGAAGGAAAGACCTAGTTAAACAGGCACCTGTGCATGAACTGCCCTGCCAGGTGCATGAGCTAAGTGGAATTTAGGGGGATGCACCCGAGGATGCACTTGAGTCCACGCTAGAGAATCCGGCTTCGCCTCTCTCCCCACGGGATGGGGCGGCTGCACTTCCCATCAACCAACCTGGCCACCCCAGGCTGCCTGTGGCTTCRAATCTTCCCTGGTGTATTCTCTTTTGTTCTTTCTTCAACAGGAAATTTTTCTTTTATTGCTTTCTCTTGATATTAGACTCTTCCCTTGTGCTATATAAAGTTTTCAATGATCTTAATAGTATGGACCAAGGGTAGGTGACAGAAGGCATGTGAAAGCAATCGCCATTTGCAAAAATCATAAAAGTGGGCATCAGAAATCATCGTGGGGATGATGTAGGGTCATTGTGACAGCCAGGAGTCTGGCTGGTTTGCAGGAGGTACACAGGAAATGGCCTGTCTTTGGAGTCCTGTGGTTTTTATAAAGTGCCAAAGTACTTTACTTTATTACAAAAAACACAAGAATGACATGGGTATCATTGGCATTTCACACACTGAGATGTAAAAATGCCAAAGGTTTTCTCCATAGAATGAACAACAGAGGAAGCTCTGAAAGAGATGGTCCCCGGCCCTGAGGAGCCGGAGGGCCCGTGCAGCTAGCTGCTCACGCTCCACAGTGCGCTGTTTCCACACGTCAAGCAGAGAGTTCCAGAAGGTCCAGCTGAGGACTTAGGATGGCTTTTCTGATGCTAATGGTGATGTGCTGCACTTCCATGTGTTCTAATCCAAGCCTCAGTCCCACCCCAAGGGCACAGATACTTGTTACTTGGCCGGTTTTCTAGCTGAGGCCCCCAGGGATGGGGGCCCAGGGTGTTGGCTGTACCCCACGGTCTTCTCCTTACTGTGTTAACGGCACCTTATTTTCACTCTCTTTTGAGACTTCTAGAAAGTCAATGATTTGGGCCACAGTAAAAGGAAGAGTCCCTCAGTGTTTTCCCAAAYCTCAGTACCTAATGGAGATTTATCTTCTCATTTAATGACTGAGTTCCAAGCACCTGCTCCCGGCCAGGACCTGTTCTAGTGGGGACTCAGTGACAATCACAGACCCAGTGTCCTGCTCACAAAGCTTACCTCCTAACAAAGAAGTCAGCTCTAAACAGGATGAAATTGACCAAGTGACATTACCTGCATGCACGAGTGTGTGGGGATGAGTGTGCCAGGACAAG